GCCCTAAAGCTAGTGGTGGGGGCTTTTCAAAATGGAGTACCTCCGATAAACATCAAAATAATGTGGATAAGAAAATATCTGAGTAATGGGGGAATAATTTTTGGAGGCGAAATTTGAATCAACTGTACAAAAAAGCTATTATTTAATTTTACTTGGGAGGGGAGATTTTGGGTGAATCACGGCATGCTATGATATTATGATACCTTAGATCGATTTTATTCTGCTGGGCATATAATTTTGATGATTTTGGAGTTTGTATGTTGATGGGATGTGATGGGTTTATCTTATAGACTTAAGCATGGTTAGTTAGCGTTGTTTGTCGTTATTTGTACTTGGGGAGCGGTGTGTGAATTCAATGAATTAAACCTCAATTTGGAGGGTTGGGGATTTGTGTTTTGTGTTTGGAGTTATTTCATGTTACGTTGTGTGTATTTGTATATAGATAGGTATGTGTGTATGTATGTATGTATGTATTGGTAGGTGTTTTTGGGAGTTTTGTGGTGTTTTTGGGGAGTTGTTGTTTAATATGATGATGGTGTTTATGTGTTGCAAGATGGGATTTGCTGGGTGATTTGCTGGTGTTCGTTCTGAATGTTCTGGATGTATTTGTAGGATTATGGATGGATTGATTGATTGACTGGAGGGAAGTGTATTGGGGTGGAGTGGAATAGAATATTTTATATTATTAGATGTTTATTTGTTTGTTGTGTTTGTTGTGTTTATATGATTGATTGGTGTTGTATTTGAATTCGAATTTGAAGATATAATGGATGAATAGATAATTAGATAATTATTGATTTTTTTGATTTTTTTTCTAAATGTTTAGGAGTTATGATAAACTATCTATCTAATATATAATCAAATCCCATTACATCTATTATATAAACTATTCTTTACTTTTAAGTTTTTTAATACTCCCTCAGGATATCAATTATTCTTTTTCTTCTTCTTAAATCTATTGATATAATTATTTGTTCATTTTTATTCATTCTAAACTCTAGACTCAAGGCAAAGGCAAAAGCAAAAGCAAAAGTCAACGTTTAATATCTAATATCCAAGATCTATTCCCAAATCCATCGTAACTTTATCCTCATCTTCATCATCACACTTCCCTTATTCTTATCACCCAATTCACCTAGCCCTTCCTTCCCATCCTCCTCCTGCTATCACCATTCATACTCGCCACTTTCACAATCCCAAAATATTCTTACTCAAATTCTCCAATTCACTAGCTTTCCCTTCTCTCTCTCGTTCTCTTTGTCTCTTTGCTTTCCCCTTTCCTTCTCCCTTCTCCTCTCCTCTCTCTCACTTTCCCTCTCCTCTCTCTCCTTCCAACTCACCAGCCTTCCCTTCTCCCTCCCCCTCTCCTTCTCACTCTCCTCTCTCCGCCTCTGCCCCTCCTTTATCTCCCTTTCCCTATTCCTCACCCAATCTCCCTCCGGATCACTATTCCCACTCCCGCTCCTACTCTCCACCCCCTCCCTCCTTCCACACGCATATCGGCTGCTACTTCTTCGCCTATAATTCCTATCACTTCCTCATCCCTATCACTTCTTCTGTCCCTATCTCCATCTCTATCTCTATTTCTATTCCTATATCTTTCCCTCTCCCTCCCCCTATCCCCTCTCCTATCCCCCTTCCCACCCCTCTCCCTACAACTATCCCCCCGAAGAATAACCAGGCGAATCACCAAGCAATGAACGCGCCAGGAGAAAAAGAGCTGTTATGCAGAGGAGATTCATTTTCGGAGTTGAGATTCAAAATTCGATGTAATATGACGTGATTTGTAAGCTAAGGTATGGAGTTATAGAGACGATTTGAGATTTTCCGTGTATTCGCACTGTAGGTTTGAGGAATATGATTCGATGCACGATTGTACATGGAGCCGTAATGCGTTCGTTGAGTAATTAGCACCGATGAGTCGAATCTCCGATATAACAACATGAGTGATTCCCGTCTGGAAGAGGATAATATAAATTTTATGTATAATCGGACGGAAACGATGTAACCAAGTAATTAATAACGTCTCAAGCTGAGGGATAAAAAAATAAGAATATGCTGTATCAGTTCCTCAGTGATATATCCTCGGATAATTATCTAATCGAAAAGTATTACCCAAGGCCTAAGAACCACCAACCAAACAACTTTTAAAATCCAACCCGAAGAGATTCACGCAAAAGCAAACCTCTGAGTATCCAATAGGGATTAATACCAGCAAAGTATCATACCAGCCAAGTATCTGCAGTAGGCAAAGCCTACTAATCTCGAGAAAGTTGATTAATTATTAAATTCTCCAAGAACCCACTTAATATTCGAAGCTATGATTCTAAAGTAAGGATAGGATGGAGGGTGGGAATGAAAATAAAATAGGAAAATAGCATTATAACAAGAATTTGTATGCATGCTAAAATGCGATGTGTCACTTTTGCTGGGAGTCAAAATTGAGTCATTCTGATTCCTCAGTGGGAGTTGATAGTGAATCTTTCTATAATATCATAATTACTGATATATTCTTGCAGTCAAATCAGAATGGAACATGAACAAGTGTTATTTTTACCGTCATATCAAAGCACTATTTGATGTACAGTAATAAGATTGGATTGAAGAAATGCGAGTAAAAGAATGAAAGAATTTTCATTTCAGATTAATGTATTACTTTGCCTATCGATACAATGCTTTTCGTTAAGAGTAAAACATAAAAATTTCATCATCATCCCTTTCCCTTCTAAGAAACTTGAATATACCAGAATTATAAACGCCATACCCTATGACCTGCCTTTCAGGACAAAGATTGCTCTTAGAGTAATCTAGACGATGTAGAACTGCATTTTGTTGTACATGTTGATGACTTGTTATGACGAGGAAAAAAAAGATGATACACAAAATAGAAAAGTTATTTACCAGCCAACGAAGATTCTTCAGTGAAGAACAAAGCAAAAAATATGAAAGTTGTGAGATGCAAAAAAGGTAAAATTCACGCTAAACAGACCTTGCAGCGCATATTGTTACAGTGGTAATGCAAATTCTCCATGCTTACGAGGGAAAACAAAAATTACTGGTATCGAACTTGGCGATTTGAGGTAGCAGGTGGTGGCTCCGGATGTCGAGGGTCATATTCTTCGTAATAGGCAGGATCTGCACGACCAACAGCTGGGCGTGTTTCATAAAGGGGCTGTCTCGAGTGTGGCTCCTCCTCATATGCTGCATACACTGTTTCATGTTCTCGACGGGCAGACCTATGTACGATGTAAGGGCCCTGAGAATCGTACTGGACATATTCATAAGCTTGCCGAGGTCGAGGCTCATCGGCATAGACACGGTAATACTCTTGGCGAGGAGCTCTCTCATAAATAATTTCTTCCTTTGGTGTCCGCGTGCGATATATGGGTTCTTGTCGAGAGAGATGAGCGTCTGGACTGCGCTCAGCATACTGACCAGATTGTGCACCCACCTTAACGTATATTGGTGACCTTGAACGTGCTCGATCATTGTCTAATCTGACGCTCTCATATCGAGCGTACCTACTCGGAGTGCGATGAGCGCCGTGACTTCCTTGTCCTTCATCACGGTAAATTACGTTGTTCGCGTATCTTCTGTCAATAGTCTCGGGAGATCGCTCTTCTGCAGCCATTTGCTCAGAAATCGGATCGGCATATCGATCATCCGTAGCGTAAGCTCGAATTTGTCGAGTCTGAGATGGACGCTCTTGTGTGTAATACCCATTGTAAGCCCCTTGCTCATCGGACACATATATAGGTCGACCAGATACGGGTAAGTCATCATTGTAAACTTCCCGAAGACGTTGCTGAGATTCTAATGACAAGGGGCGTCTCTGCCGCATGCTTTCAAAACGTTCTGCTTCCCATCTTGGCTCTATAATATCCTCTCTGCGGCGTGTTGATTGCTCAAATCTTTGACTAGCTACTTCAGCACGCTTTTCCGATTGAAATTCGCTCAGAAACCTTTCTGCGTCATTGGTGGCCTGATCCGACGTCCGCTTACGATTAGCTTGCGCAATCGTTTCTCTTTGCAACTCGCCTTCTTCCGAACCAATCTCAGCAGGTCCATCACGGATTGCCGTCTGTTTCCCGCGCGCTTGCTGTGCCTGCTGAGAGATCTGAGCTACAACTTCGAAGATACGGTTTTGTTGGCATGTTGCATCCTCTAATGCCCTGTATTGGGGTAATAACGGATCTTTCGACACAGCCGAGACGGCGGACAGTGGTTCATCTTGTCGATTTGATTTATATGATTGAGAGCTAACAGTTGCATACTCTCGAATGGGAGTAGTTAGGTCATCGTAGGTCCTAATGGTTCGTTCGTAGCGAGGTCTGTGTTCTTCGTTGTTCTCCCCTCTATACCGACTTTTCCTGTCTGAATAAATTGGAGCTTCGTCACGGGCGGCATGGCGGCTATAATCTTCATCTGGCCTAGCATATGATACGAGAGGTGATCCAGGCTTTATGGGACGGCGAAGATCAACGTTCTTATCCTGAAATATTTGGTGATCCTTTTCATGGAGGGAGGATGCGGCCATTGATGTGGCGTTGAGTGATCCTTTGCGTTCTCGTGCATTTCGCGGGTGCCGTGAACCATATGGATTACTATCGTTTGTGGCAGAGACCGATTCTGTGTCTGAAGTTCGAGTGTCTGCAAGCGTGGAATAATATTTTCGATGATTGTCTTGCGAGGGTGCTAGTGCTTCAGTTACGTCCTGATTGGCATATGGAGTCCGCTGCCAAAGCGGTGTTTCTTGACTTAGAGGTTCAACTTTTGGTTGCCACGATGGATTTCGTTGAGTCATGGTATCCTTGCTCGGTGGTGGAGTCGCAGCAATTTCCGGGAGAGCTTCTGAAAAGAGCGCAAGCTTTCGATCGTCCATTCCTGGAGCGGTTGAAACGGAAGACATTTTCGCCCGATCGGGAAGTTCAACCATATCCTTCGTCCAATCTGGAAAATGGCCGATAAAATTCGAAGGCACCCCTTCCTCATGAATTGTGCGAAAGTGGATGGCAAGTTGAGGGAACGAAAAATGTTTCTTATCAGGCTTCGAAGAAGTAACAGAACCTGCCATACCTAGTACACAAGCGCGGCACAAAAGCCCGTTGATATTTCGAACAGGTCGCATGTCCTTGTTACTGGATAATCCATCAACTATCATAGAAAGTGGTGGATTTTGTCCAAACTTGGATCGGAACTTTTTCAGTATGTGATAGAGAATGGTGTATACTTTTACACTACCAGGAACTTCTTTCACGCCAATCATTGAGTCCCAAATAGCCCTGGCATCCCGACTAAGCTCCTGAAGCTGGGCCTTGTACTCATCCGTCTGTTGTGGTGGAGAAACCTGAGGTTGTGCTTGTTGCGTTACGGACGTTGAAATTTGTGAGTAGTTGCTATTAGAATAGACTGAAGGTTGGTTGTACGAGGTGGAATATGGGGCGCTCTGGGGAACATATGATGGCTGTTGGACGTTGCTGTCAGTTATCGGTGTAGAATACATCTGACTAGGGGCAAGAGACGCATAGCCCTGCTGAGTTGACGTCTGGTAAGAACTCCCATAACCAGGCTGTGGATAGTTCTGATTAGAGTCGCTGTAACCAGGTGTCATGGCAGTCAATGGCGGTGCAGAATATTGTGAATAGCCTTGAATAGGATCTTGATACGTTTGTTGCGGCACATACGGACCAGGTTGAGGGACCGTGAATTGATCTTCATATTGAGAATGGCCATAATATGAATTCTGGTAAACTCCGGAATTGGGTGTAGCGGAGACGGCTTGCTGGTAACTGGCATACCCACTCGAACCGAGATAAGGAGCAGCGGCACTCGGCCCAGGAAAGACAGGGTAGGTTTTTTTAATCCGGGCATTAGGATCCGGACAAAACGGTGGGTATTCTGGCCATTCTGACTTCCAGTGAACAACTATGGTGCCAACGCTGAACGAATTGGTATGCTTAGCAGCAAAATGCTGAATAACGCCCTCGAAGCCATAATACTTGAAATTGTTGTCGCAGACGTTGCAAAGAAAGAGCTCCTTATTATACTGCTCAGTTAGAGGTTTTATTTTGGTATCAAATACCCATTTCATATTTTCCAACGTTAGCTTGCGAGTGTAAGGACCCATCGGCGGGTCTGACGGTGGTTCTTGGCCTGTTGCCCGCACGGCAGTATCATCCTTGGCGATTTCGGCATAAAACCTTTTCCGGACGTAGATCAGGACATCTGCAGCAAATCTAGGACTAGATTCTTTGGTCACTTTAGCACCATCGTTCCAGCCAGCATGGATCGTTTCATCAGCATATGCACCAATTCGAGCCCGGAGTGGGGCTTGGACATCATCCCATTCTCTATCAATGGCATCCTTGTATTCCGGTTTGACTTGGTTATCCTGAAAACGTCGCTCATCGGATCGCTCCTCAACTACTCGGGACTGTGCAATCCGGTCATTTTCGCGCTGCTCGGCCTCCTCTCTCTGTGATAGTAGTCTGGGCTTCAATACTTCCCAGGCACCATCATTCAGTGGTTGGATTATTTGTATAGCTGCCTGGAATGAGCTCATATGGGCTAGAACATTTGCTGTTAGTGGAGGATTTAACAATAAGCACCTTCGCTCGATTTCAGCTCTTCGCATCGCTTTCAGATCCGCAACTTCCTCCTTGGTCCTTTCATGCCTTGGCTGTTGATTTGACCGAGGTGTGTATGCAGAATACATATTTTGTGAAGGCGAATCGTATCGCGGTTGCGGAATATTCGCTGCTATGGCCAGGTGTCAGTCTCTGTTGGATGGAATGAATTGCAAGACTAGCAACATGAATAGCTTACGGAAAGAAGTGTGTATCGCAGGTAACGATTTAGGTAATTGAGGTAATGGATGAGTGACAGGTGTATGGTTTGCCAATCTTGAAAAACCGTTGGTTAAATTTGGCTGCCCTTGTGCATGAGTAAGATCGCTGTTCGGGATAAGTGCTGCAGGTATTTGTTTTGAGTGATGTTTTTGCTCTGGAGTTTTCATCCGAACAATGCCACCACTTGCTTCCCATCTTTCCCATCGGGCTGCGTCATTACGCCGTTCCTTACCACGATCTTCCAGACCCTTGAGCCATTCTTCTATGGTCGCTGAACCCATAGCTTTGACGGATTCAAATTCTTCCTTGATATCCTCAACATGCTTCTTGAAGTAATATTTCGTAATTTGAGTAGTTGAAGGGGGCTGACCATTCTGCAATGCTGTTGCGGGAATGACATGGAGCTCATTAGTGAGAAATACGAATGGTAGGGCTGGCATCAGCAGTGATGGGATTGATGAGGACAACAATAAATCAATCTCCTGGGCGCGAATTAGTGAGCCCCAGGTATGAACAAAAGAAAATATGAGACTGTACCTTAACAGCATGTTGTAGAAGACAATTTCCACAAGATCTTACTGCGAATGACCAGACAGGAATGACTCCATTTTCACCTGGACCAAGATGCCATGGGTCCGATCGCACAACATTGGTAAATGGACTTTTCTTGCTACAGAATTGACAAGAGCTAGAACAAGAAATTCTCCACATATCAAGCTCAGTCTCTCCTACTAAAGGAACAGGCATGAGAGGTTTAAAAGCACGTCTAGAGGCTCGCCAAATGGCATCTGGGTTTAATACTTGAACAGAAGATTTTGAAAGGGGAACAATGGAGCTATCTGATGAAGGATCAAGATATGTATTAAAAGACTTGTTTACTTGCAACAAGTTACCCAAAGTTTTAGGAGGAGTGAAAGTGAAAATGTGATGCCAAATCTCAGCTGGCAGAACAGACCGGTCTACATGTAATTGGCCCTCACTTCTCCAATGGTCCTGTGTGTCATCTGGTTTAAGACGTTTGCGCATTTCCTCAAGGATCTTTGTCTTGTCAATGTGGCCATTTGAATAATCCTCTGTGGATTCTGAATATTTCCGCTTCCTGGAGGTTTCCGGCTGGGAGGACGGCAAAATGGTACCATTGGTTCGTTCCGGAAGTTGTGTATTCGAATTGAATTGTATGGCCGGGCTAGTCAAGGTATCTTCATCTTCATCGTCAGAATCTGCAGACATTGAAACATCTGAGGCCGAATCGTCGTTCTCAATAATCGAAATAGTATGTTTATTATGGGATAATTTTTCGTTTGAGCTGCCACTGGGAATATAATGCCTAGGAGATGTCGCAGTAGATGTATCTGTAGTGGATATACCTGTACTCCCACTAGGTATATCGCTGCCCGGCGTATCCATTTTGAACCAAGTTTGGTTCCTTGGTTCTTTTTTTTTTGGTATGTATCAAGTTCTCGAGAAAAAAAGAGAGAATAAGGAAATTAACACTTGTCAAAAACTTTGCAGATTTGAATTCAAACCGCAATGACCAAGGTAGATATAGTGGTAACTATGCGACTGGGTTAGGAGGAACAGAAGTTTGTTGTGAGGGGCTTTTATAAGGAATCTGCTTCCAAGAAAGAATCCAGCCTCAATTCGAGACAGGGCAAGCTATAGATAAGCTATGCTGTGCGACCGTCATCTGATAGAAGGGAGGAATAGGTTATTGCTATCACAAAAAGGAATGGAGGTACAGTCGAATGTCTAGTCAATGTAAGAGAGAATATTGGAACCTTTCTCAAATATAATATGCTGCGCTCCTGATGTTTTGTTTTATGTAGGTAGATATAGATCTTTATTAATTGTGGTGGGTGGTGCAAATAAGAGGGCATGAGAAAGTGAGGCGGTCGATAATTTGGTTGGTCAAGCAAAGATTAGATCTTAGTGGCGGTCAAATTGATAGTGTGCTTATGTAATCATTAGCAATGCGACCCATGTTCCAGCCATCTATTGTTTGGACATGACGATACAGGCAGGACACAGGATAGCTTGAACAAGCCTGAGCACAAACCATTGCAACAACCACTACCACTACCACTTCAGCACAGTACATTTACCATCCGAAATCACCTCTCAACAACCTCTCCCTTTTCCATCTTCAAATCATATAACTTCTATTTACCCCGCCTCCCTATTGCCAATATGGCATCTCTCAATACTTCCACGAATGGCCCTTCAATTAAATCCTCATATACCGGAGTGGTCAATTCTGCTGCACCTTCCGGAGCGGCGGCGTCCAGCCCAACCTATGGGCAGTGGGCTTTGTTCTCGGTATCAGCTCCTCTCGTAAATGCTTTTCAACAAGATAGCGGCGGGAAGGAGAGTGTACTAAAGGTGCAGAGCACTGGAGGTATGTTCGCTTTATTCTTGATAGTTTCAAGTAAATCATCTAATGCTGGGGACCGCAGAGGGAGAGCTTATCGACTTAATTGAGGATTTCTCTGAAGGACGAGTTCAATTCGCATTTGTCAAAGTCAAGGATCCGAATACCACACTTCCGAAATATGTCCTTATTGGATGGGTTAGTCGCACAATTCAAGAGAGCGTCGAGAGAATAGGAGGTACTAACACGACCTATAGTGCGGTGAAGGTGTTCCTGAGCGAACAAAAGGCTATTTCACAAGCCACCTTGCAGCAGTATCTAAGATTCTTCACGTTGGTACTCATCTGAATATCTTATCTTCATTCATACTCATACATCATGCTAGGGTTATCATGTTCAAATAACTGCTCGATCAGAATCCGACTTGGCACCAGAAAGTATTGTGCAGAAAGTAGCAGATGCATCGGGCGCGAAATACTCGGCAGGCTCGGCACCACCGCCTTCCTCTGGTCCTCCTCCTCCAAAGGCTAAACCCGTATTCACTCCTACACGGCCGGGCGGTGTGTCTGGGTTCAATCCATTAGCAGGCTCAAGGTCGAGGACAAGTCAGAATGACAACGTAGATGGGGATGGATGGGGCGCAGATGCGCCACAAGTCACCCGAACACAACTCGAAAAGGTTCAGCCCGCATACAAACCCACAAAAGTTAACATGGCAGAACTTACCAAACAGCCAACCGCCTCGCGATCTAGCGATGGCGGCGGGGCAGACAGTGGAGCTGCCTCAGACGTTGTCAAAGGAGGCTATCAACCAATCGGCAAAGTAGACATTGCAGCATTACGCGCTCAGGCTAAGAGCAGCGGTGATGATAGGCCGACGATAGTTAAGGGAGCATACGAACCAGTCGGTAAAGTGGATATCGCTGCGATTAGGGCCAAAGCACAAAAGCCTGTCGATGAGGCTCCCGCTACTAGTTCTGCGCCAAACAGCGACGAACCATCCAGATCCCTTGCAGACAGGTCTGCGGCTTTCACCCAATCAGAGCGCCTCACGACCCTCCCAAAGCCAAAGGTTGCAAATAGGTTTGGCTCCACCGCGAATAGCTTCGCCGGAACGAAAGCCCCAACTCCAGGAACTTTTGGCATACAATCCCCGGCAGCTCCAGCAGCATCTGCTCCCGTCGGCGCAGCAAGTAGAACATTCGCTGATGAAGGAGGCAAGACTCCCGCTCAAATTTGGGCAGAAAAAAAAGCTAGAGAAAGAGGTCTCAGCGGTGCTGGAGAGGCACCTCCCCAGAGTGTGCCAGCACCTATTGCAAGCCAACCAAGTGGAGGAGGCCAATGGAAAAGTGGATACACTGGCAAATCTTGGGCTCCTGTGGCCACCAACCCTACCGGACAATCCGCTACGGGCAGTATAGATCAACAGAGAACCGGTGAAGCAGAACCTGAGCAAGAAGCCCCAGCTTCTCCAGCTGGAGGCATCAATGCTATCAGGGATCGATTTAAGGGAGGACAGGCACCCATGGGTGCACCTGCGATGCCACGATCAATTACCGGAGATCAAAATCAATCTACACCACCTCCACCTATCAACGCTTCCAGTAGACCCGGTGCAATCCCAATGCCTGGCCTTCCAACACGCCCTCCACCTGTCGATGATGAGGAGGAGCAGGCCAGACCAAATATTCCAGCACCTCCTCCCGTTCCCCGCACCCCAACACCAGAACCAGAAGAGGAACCAGAGCGCGAGTCGTCGCCCGTTCGTATTGCTATGCCAGTAGCACGTGGAAGAGCACCTGAAGAAATGGAAGCGCCAGAGGAACTTCACAATCACCCGACGCTAGAGCAAGCCATTGAACACGTCCCCCATGAGGAAGACCTTACCGAGGAACCCGCTGGACATGACCCAGCGCGTGGTGCAGCAGCAGCCGTGGCCGCTGAAACATTCGGGCACAATGCTCCTATGGTTAACGAAGTTTCCGCTGCTAGCGGTAAACGCGCATTGATTCAATATGACTATGAGAAAGCAGAAGACAATGAATTGGAATTGATCGAAGGTGAATACGTCACCAACATTGAAATGGTCGATGAGGATTGGTGGATGGGCACCAATTCCAAAGGCGAAAGTGGCCTCTTCCCAAGCAACTACGTGGAGCTAGTAGAAGGCGAAGAGTCAGCTCCAGCACCAGTTCCAACTCATTACGCTGAGCCGGAACCACCAGCTCCTGCCCCAGCTCCTGCAGCTCCGGTTGCTGCACCTGCTGCACCTGCTCATGCTGCTGGCCCTACCGCTACTACACAATATGATTATGAAGCAGCCGAGGATAATGAATTGAGTTTCCCTGAAGGCGCTACAATTACTGATTTGGTAAGTTTCCATCCTTTTTTTTATTTATCTTCATCCCTTTCCCTCCCTTTTCGTTTCAAATCAAAGACTAAACACTAACACCATACAGGAATTCCCAGATGATGATTGGTGGTTCGGTCACTACAATGGACATTCCGGTCTCTTCCCAGCAAACTATGTAGAGCTTGATCAATAGATACCTACATAGGTTATGCATACCAGCTGAGCGAAGCAAAGCAACTAAAAGCAGTGCGGAGCAATCAATCCGAGCGACTGATGTCCGAGAAGGTTTAGTCAAGAATCTGAACTTCATAAAAATTCAGGAGATTTGTAGATGAGGTGTGGCAAGCGGGCAGGTAGGCAGGCAGGCATGGATGGAGGGAGAGAGGGATGGATGTTTTTGTAAGTAGTAACTGCAGCAGCAGTAGCTAAGAAAAAAGCGGTGGTCTTGGTTTTGGTCTCTATAAAAGATAAAAGAGGATTGAAATTTCGTTCATCGATATTGCTAGCGTGTATTGTGTACTATGTGGTCTTGTGCTTTGTGACTGATTTGAATGAATTGTGCTTGGGTTTCTTTTAGCAGATTGTTCATGGCTATTTTTACTGTTCATGCATCCGTATTCACACTCTCATTGCAGCATCACTCTAATGATAAACCTAAAGCTTGCCATGACACAACATTGACGCTTCAGATTACTTCGTAATAATAAGAGCACATAAATTATTAAATAAAAGTCATTCATTATCTTATCTTATCTTAACCATCCAATCCAACCATCCCTAAAAACTAGCTGGAAGCAGAAAAACTGGTGATCCAGCCGAAAAGAGACTCAGACCTGCAAGAATATGAAAAAACTACGTGAAGAGAGGAAGGAAATATGCGTGTGGAAGCCAATCGGTTACTGCAACCATGTGGGTGTATAAACAAGGTGATTTGATTGGCGATGTCGATTTGAGATGTATTTGTGGAGGATATTATATCATTGCTGGCTTTGCTGGAGGGGAACTCATTATCGGCAAGTATGAGGCCGTCGATTTTGTTCTCCTGGTTTGCGACAATGGAGGTGTGGAGTTGCGCGATGTGTTGGGCGATTTCGGGTGGCGTCGCCTGCGAAGTAGCGGAGTATGCGAGGGGGTTAGGAGGCTACTGGCTCTAACAACATTCGGCACCTGTGACAGGAGGGTTAGTGGGCTGTCATTCGCAAGTTTGGGTGGGTAAAAGGAACATACAATCAATACAGAGTTCACAACCCTCTTCCATTACGCAACAACAACAGAGAGCTGCCAAACAAGCACCTAGACAACCTTGTCCACCGCCGGAGCTCTTTGGGGGAGGTTGTTGTTGATATTGCATTTGTTGCTAGGGAGACCGTCGTTAGCCAAATATATTTTCAGATGCAAGGGTATATTGTATTTGTACAATGCGACGGTGAAGCCATCTCGGTCCTTCTCGGCATCGTTGTGGCGCAGAGATGGCGAAATCACCGTCATCGTATTATAAAATACAGTGTAGTAGATGGAGAATATGCGAATGTACTTACAGGAGGAGGGCCTTGTTGATAGTAGCCTTGTTGTGGTGGTGGTCCTCCATAAGCCTAAGTATCACCGAAGTGTCAGCTTTGTATTCTATTCCATGTGCCAAGTTTATCCAAGAGATTTCGAGGAGATCTGTAGGATAGTTGATATAGATGCGAAAACATACATTGGGAGGGTATTGAGGTTGTCCGCCATATTGGGGCTGTTGATTGTAGTAACCTTGGTTTGACATGTTGTTGATCTGGAGTGAGGAGAAAACAAGTCCCTGGTTAGTATTTGTCTCGTGTTGATGTTGAAGTTGTGTCAGAACTATGCGCAAACTCACTGTGGTAATGGATTGATGTGATTAATTGATGATATCAAGTGTGAGAGTGCGTGGTATGTGATTAAGTTGACGTTGAAAAGAAGAGAGGTCAAACTTCAAAGTCAAAGTTAGATTGGGATTAGAATCATCAATAAGAACTAAGAACTCGGTAGGACGGAGACGGAGTAGTAGAGAAGACGGAGTAGGAAGGATGTTCGCTCAAGACAACGCCAAGGAGTGTAAAGGTTTAGAAATAGAAATTAATACCAACCAATTATTGATTATTACACCAAGTTAACAAGTTGTTTTTTTTTGTTTCTTGAATGGATGTGGATACGCTGGGTCTCTTTTTCTCTTATTAAGCTTTGAGGCTTTTGAAGCTTATGAAGTTGTGGTTTGATTTAGATTCAAAAAACAATAATTATAAGAAAAAAGGTCGAGTCAATTGTATCATTCACAGGAGGAACTTAACGATTTATAGATGCAGGAGTTCTAGGTATTTTTACATTCTACCATCAGCATTTCATTTCATGTCTGAAGTTATGCTGGCTCTTCTTCTTTGATTGGTCTAGCATGCAGTGCGCAATTGAAATCGAAGGCGCAGAACCAACACCTCATCAACATGGCTCAGCTTTTTCTTTCCTCTCTTTGGTACACAAAGGTACCTTCTCATGCGCCAACCCGGAACACGGCCATTGTTCCATGCCACTTCTGAAAGAGATTTACTATTTAATACAACGATCATTCAGCTTCCCCTGCTTTAACCCTCCCCAGTCTACCCAGTCTAATCCCGTCTAATCCTTATAAGGCGCGAGTGGTCCTTGTGTGCGCTTCTTCAGCCACCTTTTCCACGATCGTCACCCATCCAAGTGTCCCAATATATTATCTTTAGTGCTGCTTTGACTTCGCTTCATCATCCGGTCGTGTGATGCAGCTTGTGGCTGTTTACTAATCCTTGATATAAATCCTTGTTAATCTAAAGCAGCAGGACGTCCTCTCAGCCACTTTAACCATCTCGCATGCATCCCGTCATATATCCGACTTGGCTTCGAGATGTCAATCAAGCAGCATTGCGTTTCTCCCCCCTTTAATTCAAACAACCACGTTTGCTCCACGTTTGCTACGGCATCGGTGACACAGGGAAAACCGAGCATTAAAATTGCATTCGCTTGAAACCTTTTCATCTTCAGTTCTCACCCATTTGTTGGAGCCTGGAGGTTAGGCTCAGCACTGATCATTCCAGGGTAAGCCCAGCCCCAACTCTAATGCTACCATGCCTAGATAGCATATGACATACGATGCGAAGAAGACCCGCCATTTTGCCGACTGTTATCACCTTACTCCGCGATGATGGAGAACGATGGAGAATGATGGAGAAATCCTTGAGTACAAAGTGCCTCGAAAGCATTTATTTAGCTTGTCAAAGATTGGGCAGGAATCTCGAGGAATACAAGTCGCCTTCAGAATCTCTAAAGCCTAAGAGCATGAAACTCTTCAAGACTTCTAGATCATGGTATAAAGACCAAGATACTTCTCAAACTGGCACATACGGCCATAGATTGAGGAAAATAGGGCATCCCGTCCGCTCTGCCATACTCAAGCCTCAAATCGGTAAATCAGTAGTTGAGTGGGTGACCATCAGCGAATCCTTACTGTTGTATGTTTTTTGCTTTTAATTTTGTTTTGCTGGTGGGTGACGATGCCGGAGTGGGCCACGTTTTTTTGTTATGTATCTCGTACACAAGGGCACGTAGGCCAACAGGTTTTGGCCAGCATTAGGGTCGTCTTCTTCAAAATCATCTTATTTGTGCCATTTCTCATATTCCTCCAGAATGACTGCCATCCAGATTTTCTCATGCTATATTTAGCTCTCCACGAGCAATCGATGCTGAAAAAGCATTGTTTTATATCCTCGAGTCTCCCTTCATCCAAGAATCCAAGCGGATGCCTATCTATTCATGATATACACTCAAACATCATCTTGTGCACTTTCACTTTGAGGCTTGGAGTGGCTCTTAACTCTTGTGGTCCATATTACCTGTTTGGTACATTGGCCGATAGCTTCTTGCTCATGATGGGGGCAAGATATCGTAAAATTTCCATCCTCCCTACCCCCCTCCAAAAACAGAAAAGAAAAAGCAGTCAGCCCTGTTAAGCTGCTTAAATTCCGAGACCAAAGAAGTGTTTAAGAATAAAGTGGGAAAAAATTGAAGAACTTCATGATTCTTATAGGCGCATGGAGAGTAGTGAGAAAGTAAAGTTGGTATTAATGTAATTTGAAAGGGCTAAGGAACGCGGGGAGACAAAAAGTTGAAACAGAATGAACAGTCATTGTGGAGACATATCGATCCAAGACCTTCGAGGAAAGACACAGGAAAGCTGGAACTGTGGAAAGGTAAACCCCATGTCCTTAAAGCATGAGCTGTGTCTAGGTCATCAGATGTCGGCAGCTATCTTTCGTAAGACTTAATATTGAGAAATTTTGGAAAAATGCTTTTGAGATGGGAATTTGGTGTCAACAACACATGGCGATGTGGTTTTCAATGAAAGAGCTCCAAGAGCTTCAAATGAATGAGAACGGGGAAACGGGCTCATTCTTCATTAAGATGCGCCGAGTATTCCCATAGACCTGCTCGAATCTGAGTGACAGTAGGTAGTCAAGGATGGATTCGTCAGGATGGGATAGGTAAGCAAAGTTAATAGTAGTAGTAATAGTCGCAGGAAAAGCAGAGACTGCTTTATGGTATAATTCAAACATAATTGTATTGTTTTGGCTCAGGTTTATGAGGGGCGTCGCAAAAAGGTGGGGTAATCGGTCGTGGAAATGGGACTGGTAAGCTCACCGGTAGAAAATTCCCCGAAACAAAAGGAAATGCACTTACGAAGCTCACCGGTAGCTTGACCATATGAATTTGGTTGGCAAAGAATGATTTTTAACAAATCTGATATTTTTTATGGTGCTGCTAAAGTTGGTTTCGATATATATCACAGAAAGTGTTTGTAAGGAAATATACATTACTATCGTAAATCTGATCATCTTATTCTAGGGTTGATTATTAATCATTTTTGTAATTATTCAATTTGTATGGAACGATTAAGAAAATTATCGCTTGAGATGACGCGATGAAGCTAGCCACCCTGATAGCGATTAGAAAATATATCTCCGGACTCGCAACATCACAACATCTTCTCTTTCTCGTTAACCAAGCCCATTTAACTTAATCTTCATATATTCACTCTTGATTCAATTGACAATACGGTTCTACCTTCCATAGACTACCGACCAGCAAATATCTCCAGCACACCCGCGTTTTTTAAATCAAAGCCGCAAAACACCCCCACCAAAAACATCCACTCCACTACGAACAGAGAAAAGCATCAAGATGTCAAGTCTTATAGAAATTACAACGGAGGAAGAATGGCAGAAGCATATTGAATCTTTGCCACCTTCAACTCTGCAGATAATCAGCTTTCATGTATGTCTCTCGATTCATCTCCGACATTCCCCATTCTCGACCATTGACTAATGCGACAACCACTAGGCACCATGGGCAGCACCATGTGCGCAAATGTAAGACTCTCAGCATCTGTCGCCATCATTCTTTTCTACTCTCGTGTTGAAATACACCAAACAAACAAACAAACAAACATGCTAACCTCACAACAAGGTCGGTCGTCCTCCGTACCCTCGCGCTCTCCTACCCCGCAACCACACCACCTACCACCTCCTGGGTTTCGATCAACGCCGAAGAGGTAATCTCCGTCTCTGATGCCTTCGACGTAACCGCAGTCCCTTTCCTCGTCCTCACCCGCAACAACGCTGTCCTTGAAACCGTCTCCGGCAGTGACGCCGCCAAAGTGCGCAGTACCATTGAAAAACACGCCAATTCTACCTCTTCCACTAACGGCACATCTCTGAGACCCGTACCAAGCATAAGCCATACTTCTCCCGAACCATCAACTCCACCTACTACTTCTACCGAATCCCAAGAGCCAACATCTAAAGAGGATCTCCACGAACGCTTATCCAATCTTGTAAAGGCGGCTCCTGTGATGCTGTTTATGAAAGGAACACCTTCAGCACCTCAGTGTGGTTTCTCTCGTCAACTCGTCGCTTTACTAAGAGAAAACTCGGTGAAATATGGCTTTTTCAATATTTTGGCCGATGATGAGGTTAGGCAGGGTCTTAAGGAATTCGCAGATTGGCCTACTTTCCCACAATTGTGGATGGACGGAGAACTTGTAGGAGGTCTAGATATTGTAAGTTTAACCCCCATTGAATTCATCTTGAGGATGAGAGTGGAGGAACACATTTCGGAATACATTTTACCATATCGCTTTGTACATTTTGATGAAGATATATGACTAACTAATTTAATAAATTACAGGTCAAAGAAGAAGCCGGAAATGATCCAGATTTCTTCAAGGCATATAGCGTCGCTAAACCGGCGACAGCAGCTTAGAGAAGAGGAAAGGGCGGGGATTGATATAATCGTAATCGGATAAAAGAGATATACCCCATTAAAGATATTTTTTGCGCAGATTTTTATGAAAGTTCACATGTAACACGAATTCCATATACGTGTGAGAGCCCAATGTTAAACTTGGCGTGGATTTATAAAGATGAGTGCACCTAAGTGTAACGATACTAGTACTGGAGGCAGCGGCTGCCTGAGGTTTCATCTGGTTGGTAGTTGTAGGTTAAGGCTTTATCACTGGTATTCACTTGGAAGTGAAGTCGTTACTAGATGAAGTAGAATGTAGGTAAACTAATTGATAACTAAGTTGAGCACGAAGCTCCTATACTATGAAACTTATTCTAACTATATACTGAACAATAAAGGGAGCCTCTAGGAGCTCTGAAGGCTCCCAGGGTTCCATCACGTGATCCCTTTTATCCCAGGACACTAATCCTAAAGGTGAATCGTGACACTAGAGCACTTCCACGTGATCTAGACGGCAAACCTCGTAACAATTCAATAATATCTTTGATAAATAAATTAATAATATAATTTTAATCAAAATCATAAATTGATGAATTTATTTATTTATTTAATTAAATTACTTCATTATAAATCTCTTCTCTTCTCGTTTTAAACCGATAAACAAATTTATAAATCTTAATTTAAAAAATCTAATTTATAAAATTTGTGACCAAAAGGGTGTTTATAGACCAGTGTCACGATTCATTAATTCACGTGACCTCGAGGACCTTGAGGACCTTTTGGACCTTAGGGTCCCAAGGGTCCTCAAAAGATGATATAGGGTATATAAACATTCATTTAGTCTCGTAGTTAAGGAGCTTCGTGCTCAACTTAGTTATCAATTAGTTTACCTACATTCTACTTGATCTAGTAACGACTTCACTTCCAAGTGAAGACCAGTGATAAAGCCTTAACCCACAACTACCAACCAGACGAAACCTTAGGCAGCCGCTGCCTCCAGTATAGTATCGTTACAACCAGCAATTGTATTTAACTTAGAATCTACAGGTGAAGAGCACCTGTAGATGCGGATAGCTACTCTATATATACACAAATGAATGGCCTAGCCGCAATGGCTAGGCAAAAAGAAGTCATATTTATCCCTCCAATGATCTTACTTTACCGATAACCATTGATACCTAGTACTTGTCCGGATCTGATCCTCAGGTCACCTAAATCGTATACTAATCTCGAGTAATCGTATCATGTGTGGACATGGTTAATGTACCTGAGGTTTCTTATATAATAAGGGTGGGAGGAAAGCAGGGATTTCCGTCACATAATTAAATGGTCATTGAATAGCTTCTTAACAAGTAAGTATTATATAAATAACCATTCATTTATTTATTTATTTATTTATTTATTTATTTATTTATTTATTTATTTATTTATTTATTTATTTATTTATTCATTCGCTCAATAAAGAATTCTTATTTTCTCTACTCATAAGCTCATTGGAAATTTTACTCATTCTGTTAATTTAAAGGATATAAGATTTTATTACCTTATTATCTTTTTATAGTACTCTAAAGTCAGCCACCCCTTTTATGCTTCACGCTTTGGATGAATGGAAGATTACAAGAGCAAAGAGCAAAGAGTAAAGTAAAACTACAAGAAAACCCAGCATATTCAATATCCAACATACTTCTCCATTACACTATTTATCTATCTATCTACTCGAGTATACACCTAATAGGTAGATAGGTAAGGTTACCTAGGTACTGTTTACTCTACATTGAATACTGTTGGTACGAGAAGGATACGGAAGACGTAGCACCCACGGATTACGTAGGTCCTGTATGTCTAATTGTATTCTGTCTAAAGAGCTAGCTACATATTGAAAGTAGTAAGTCTTATATAGACTTACTAAAAGAGCTAGTCTCTTTCGCGTTCGCTTAGTTCTTTATTACAGTAGTAATTGAATTGAAGTCATTCACTTCGTTCACACAAATACCGTCCGTCAGCTGCCATTATATTACCCAAACCAAACCAAACTTTTATATTATATTTTTGTTCCCCTTGTGTCGTTGTCTTGTGCTGGGAACTTTTCTCATGGGCTTATACCCTGATTTCCTAACCCCTATTCCCTAGAGCTGATACTCTAATCCCTAACCCCTATTCCCCAGAGCTTATTCCTTAGAGCTGATACCCTATTCCCTATTTCCCAAAACAAATTTCCTACTCCCTACTCCCTAGAGCTAATACTCTGAACCCACACCCAGAACCCTATGCCTTTACGCATTAGGTTCAAAATTCAACCCATCCGGAATCTCCAACTGTCCCTGATAAATAGTATCCTTATCCTTACCCTCCCAATACTTCTTAATAGCAGGCAAAACCGTTCTCTCATTAACCACCAACTCGGTATTTGGTACAGGCTGAGGAGCCCATCCTACGTTCGATGCGAGAATACCAGGGTAACTGTAATTGAAGAAACGGGATTCCAAGGCGCCGTCTGTCCAGCTGCGGACCTTGTCGCCAGTGAGCTGGGCGACGTAGGAAAAGACGTTGGCGCCTACGTCGAAGCGACCGAGCGTGTGCAAATCCCAGTTGGCTTGGACGGTGGCGAGTTGAGAGTAGTGGTCGTAGTAGTTGGAGTCGGTGGTGTTGATGAGATCTTTTGGGATGGCGTCGCCGAGGAGGATGGAGAAGACGCGGTTTTGGCGGGAGTAGATTTCGTTCTCGTCGAAGGTGACGAGGACGAGGGTGTTGTTCATAAAGTGGGGGTCTTTGAGGAGGGGTCCGAGGAAATCTTGGAGCCATTGGCCTGCGACGGTTACGGAGCTGTCGTGTCCGTCTGAGGTCATGTTGGGGGTGATGAAGGACCATTGGGGTAATTTGTTTGCGGCGAGGTCAGAGGCAAACATGGTGGTGTTCTTGATCAATTCGAGACGTTCAGGCTTGTTGGCGACGTTGGTGAAGAGGACCTCAGGGCTGGGTGGAGTGTTAGTTTGTTGGAGGGTGTTGGTGAGTAGGTTTGCTTACTTGTGTTTGCGAACATAGGCGTTAGCACCGGTAACCTCGTTGCGCCAATCCATCCCTTGGTATCCAGTGTATGGCATATCTTCTTGGTACAATCCCCATGTGATTCCTTTGTCCTCAAGGAGGTCGACGACCGAGGAAACATTTTCAGGAACAACAATGAATGGGTCACCGTCAAGACCGAAGTAATCACTATATTTGTGTAAGCCATTGGAACAGGATTATCTAGTGAAGGATACGAACTTACCCGCCAACTGCTGCAAGATAGTTAGGCTCACTAGGATGAGTTACTCCCATATAGCTTTCCAGGTATACCCTTTTGGAAAATATCTCAAGAGGTTTCATATAAAGAGAACCAAGAAAATAGGAAAACTAACTTTTTTTTTATTTTTTTGGGGGGGGGGGGGAGCGTACGGTCTGCAGCAGCGGTTTCATAATCAGTGTTTTCAAACCAGATAGTTACGTATCGATCAAATGCTTTTCCGGGAACGTGGCTTACAGGACTTCTCGACTTAGCAATTGCTTGCGCAGCGAGGACAGCCTTGTGGCCAGATGCAGTTGGGGAAGCGGTTGCAGCGTCGGGTAGGGTGGAGGGAGTTTCTCTGTTCACAATTGCTCCGGCTGTGGCTGTAGCCGCAAGCCAAATGGCATAGACGAAGCAGAACCTCATTTTATTGACTGTATTATTGCAGTTTTTGGATATTGTTTATAGAATTTAAAAGGATATGAAGTAATCTGAAGTGATCGGCGTGAAGAAGGAAAGAGTACTTGGGGAGTGATGACTCCTTTATAATCTCCAGCTCAGCTAATAATGCCGCTATCGCCTAGGTCCAGATTCCTATAAATTCCCGGCACGACACTATCGAACTAACAAATTGTGTATTTAGCTAGCTAGATAGTGGCTAGTGATTCCAGACTACCGGAACTTGGAGTAAACTACCTGAGTGGGACGTGAGTAGTGAATTAACATCCTTGGCCTTTGAACAAACGACAAATGAAGAAAAGAGACCGTTACGCAATAGCTCTGCAGTGCAAGAAGACTAGAGCTGGGCATCCCGTTGAAAACTCTTAGCCTGTAAGAATCAAGTTGATGGATGATGGTAAGTTGAGGTGATATTACGGGGGAAGCCATATATTGGAGTATGGATTTTCACCTGCCAGATCAAGAAGTGGACAAATCCGATTTATCCATTTACTTTTATTCCTAGCCATAGAATAGATGCACGAGCACTTTGAGAACTGTAAATTGGACAGGCCTTAGGATTACATTTTGGTCCCGATTCTCTTGGATGGCGGGGAGGGGGGATACTTTTTGCCCCTAGATTAGCAGATCGTCTTTCTTTTTGCACTTGTGCAGTTATTGTGCATCGGCCTCTCATGCGAACACTGGAAAGCGTATGCAGTGGGTAGGTAGTACCACATATCCTTGTTAGTCAAAGGTTCTTGCCATTGAAGATGGAGAAGTAACCAATCATGAATCATTGATTGATCATCCTGATGTCCCACATGATGTTTGGATTGATTCAGTATAGTTGAAGCACTTGTCATGGTTCTCATACACTAGAGAATGCTAATGAATGTTTTTTCAACGGTTTTTGCTACTACTTGAAGTAATGACGAGTTCGATAAGTTGTTGCTGTTGGACATGACAAATTGGTAGGTGTAGTACATACTAGAGCTAGCTTCAAGACGGAAAACGGTTTGAATCAATCAAGGAATTTTTAGGCGTAATAGACTTGTTTTAATTCTATCAATTCCAAGCGGAATTATAGACACGTTAACATTAGACTTGTAGTCTGCAACTAATATCAGAATGGTAGGTGGGAAGATCGACTTACTGCCAAAACTAACACTGCCAGTCTGACAACGCCCGGAACCCATATTAAAATGCTTCAAATGCTTCAAATGCTTATCTACTAGGAACTTATTATTAGTCTCGTGGGGTAACGCTATGATTTCATTGGCGAGGATGAAAGGAGGGAACATTTATTAACATCCCTTCCTAATCCATCCTAGATTGATTATTTGGCATCGTACTATTTCTTCTTCATTAAACCCAATTGAGTCTCATCCACCAATACTACTTGTTTTTGGTTACTGTATTACTCGAGTAGTAGGTGGTTATTCCAACTAAATTCCTTGTACAATTAATCCCAATCCCATCTTTGAGGATCTCTGCCATCGGCATTTGCCCAGACCAATGGATCTGCTTACTTTGATGCTGTTGTACACTAATGTTATCTGGCTTCAGATTTAGTTTGCCATTCTATTCATGATAACATCGCTTTTGTTACTTGGAACATTTCGGTCCCAAAGTCTTGTTCGTAGGTTCCAGATGCAAACATCCTGACATCCTGTTGAATGACTCGCCCATATCAATGGTACTATTGTTTTTTTACTAGGAGGGCACGTTGTCATAACTTGGACGTTGGTGGTTGGATCTTCAAGAATTTCGGTACCTGACGTCTTTGCAGTGGCGTCACTTCGAAGTTCGTCGCTAGACCTTCCAAGGATTTGGATGCTTGACCTCTTTGCAGCGTCACCACGAACAAGACTGATCAGAATCCATCCACAGCTTCAATCATGTCCGTCTATACGGATGAACAATCTTTCGGAGCCGGCGAAACGTTGGCCGATGTTGAAATGGAGAGACGAGAAGATGACTATGGGGATCAAGAAGGGTTATTTCCCGGCGAGAAGGATAATTTATCAGCAAATCAATCCTCGCGGTCCAGCGATACGTTGGATGATGTTGAGATGCAAAGGCGAGAAGATGATTACGGAGATCAAGAAGGATTATTGTCTGGCGAGAAAGATAAACCATCACAAGAGGTCGAAGTCAAAAAGATATGGCGTCTGACAAACTTCTCGTGGATAATCATATCTTTTTTGGCAGTGATAGGAGCAACAGTCACGATGATGAAGATAGCGTGGGCTTTCATCCCTAACGATAGCACGATAATTGATTATTCAGAGACAACACCCACCGATTTCCGTAGGTCAGCAAACGATTACATATTAGATCCAAATTGGAATTTTGATGCCTCTCCAAAAGTTCGAACATATCATTGGACCATAGAAGATATCGAAGCAAATCCAGATGGAGTTTTCAGACCTATGATAACTATTAACTCCCAATTTCCTGGTCCAATGATTGAATGTAACGAGGGTGATACTTTGATTATTAACGTTGATAATCAAGGTGTTAATGCTACCTCCATACATTTTCATGGTATCTTTCAAAATGGGACGAACCATATGGATGGTACTACAGGCATCACACAATGTCCCATTGCACCAGGCCATAAATTTCGATATGAGTTCAATGTCACGGGTCAATCTGGCACTTACTACTATCATGGACATCAAGCTGTACAGATCGCTGATGGCGTGTATGGACCCTTGGTTATTCATTCTAAGAAAGAGAAGACTTTACAGCCAATTTCGTATGCTACAGATCGAGTAGTCATGCTCCAAGATTATTATCATGAGCTTAGTAGTGGACTCCTAATCGAAAATCTTCAACCTGGAAGCGAATCTTCACCAATTCCCGATGGAGCATTGATCAATGGACTTAACAGTCGAGACTGTTCACTTCTCCCACATCGAACATGTGACAACTCGACAACGAGTCTTCCTTCATTCGATTTGATTGAAGATTCCAATCATCGACTACGATTCATCAATACAGGTGCATTTGCTTGGTTTCAAGTCAGCTTGGACGAACATGAGTTTGCAATCACTGAAGTTGATGGCACAGATATCATGCCATCTTATGAGACTCGCATGATGATTGGTCCTGCGCAACGATACAGTATGATCTTGAACACAAACCAGGTTTCAACTGATGCTTTTTGGCTTCGAGCACGGATGGTTACTCATTGTTGGAAAGAACCTGAGAAACCAGCCCATCCAGCTGATGAAGTTCGAGCCATAATTCGTTATGTTTCCGATAAAGATACACCTAGAAACATAACCTCTCAACCTACTTCCAAAAATTGGGAGGAGGCAATCGAAGTAGAATGTAGGGACATGAATATTAGCGCCTACATCCCCACATCTTTTGAACCAGCTCCTACAATAGCAGATCATAGCTATTTCCTCCGCGCAAATCTCGAAAGAAAGTACTGGCGTCTAGAGCGAGGCTACTTCAATACCTCTACTTTCCGGCCTCGAATCCAACATCCAACACTTCATCGAACCATTGATGGTTTCACCACCAACAATGAAACATTCACATCCATGAGCAGTATCAATGGTGTAAATCCCATCTCCTACGACCAAACAAACGATTTCCTAATCCAACATTCTGGAAACAGAAATCGTCGATATAATCATCCGAAACTTCGACGAAGGAA